TTTTTTCCTTTTAGACCTAAGTTTTTTTTTTTTTTTATTTTTTTGACTCAATTATATGTCAACACGTTATATGTATTTAAATTATTATGTACATGTAACACAATCGATAAAATATACATTCACCTTCAATTTTGGCCAACAAATGATTTATAAGACAAGTCAACAAATAACAATGCCCTTACATCCCCTAACACAGACTCTTACCTCTTGCATACACAATTTTTGAACATGTCTAAGGATGAAAGGAAGAGTTGAGATCTATTGTCTATTTATGATGTCCAATTGACTGTTCACCAAATTACAAATTGACATATTGTGTAAATTTTAAATTGATGTTAAGGTTGAAAAATTAAAATTGATGACAACTTTAATTTTTCATGATGTATCAATTTACAATTAGATGGACAGTATAAATAGACAACAGATCTCAACTCCAAAAGGAATTGTATGATAAACATCCTTCTAATTTCAGTTGAACACAAATAAGCTTTCAAGATACGAGGCCAATGATCTATCCACCCGAGCACTGAAGCCCCACATGCTCCTCTTTACCTTCCAAAAACAGGGCTTCACTGCGAGCCTCAGTTTACACCGAAACAGGGCACCTGCAAATAAAACGATAAAGGGACTTCAAAAATTTTGGCAAAATAAGCAAACATGCTTTGTAGCGTTCCGCAGAGCTATATACTTTTCTTTCTCGGGGCTAGTTTTTAGCTTAGATTTTCTCGACTTGAACATAATCCATGCCACAATCGACATAAGCAGTAATGTTGAAGAGTTGCCACTTATTAAAGTCGTAATCAAGTTAGTATGCTGTACATCGAAATCAGCGGCACTCTGCAAGATGAAAGCTCCTCATCTCTACTAACAATTGTTGTCCAAAAAATCCAATACAAGGGTGTAAAATAACTTATTCACCCATCGTATTTTTTCGAAAAACAATAAACATAAAAGTTTGGAAACATATTTCACTTATTTCAAAGCATGTAAACACAATATTTTGATAAAAACCATCATATTAAAAAAAAAAAAAGGAACTGCTAATATATGAAAGATAAGAGATAAGAATCCATAGTAAAAATAGTGACATAAATGCTACAAGGAGCAAAAATTGAATATCTTGAGTACAATTAAAATGCAGTGCAACAAGTAAAAACTATGGTGCCAATATAATTATTCTTGTAATATACACAAACCCTTTATCGTGACAACTGCTTTGTTGCAAATTGAAAATCAAACGAGATGAAATTTGGACGACTTAAAAATTAGAAGTTGAATACACGATTACACTTGTTTAGCCACTTTTTGGCCCCCATTATTTGGCATTTTTGATAGTTGAAAATTTTTGAAATAGTGATTGATAAGAGAATGTATGGTGAAATAGTAATGAAAAATTTTAGATTTGTGTGTAATATTATTTTATTTGATGAATGTGTGGTTGTAATAAAGAGAGAAATTTAATGTAATGTAATTTAATTTAATGAGGACCAAACAGGGGCTTAATCTTCAATTCACCTTAACCAACGTAGTAATGAAAACTAATTACGTTGACATAAAATGCATACCAAAAAACTATACATTCAATTTCAATTTCAGCCAGTGAAAAATGATTTATAACACAAGTTTAACAAATAAAAATGACACGAGGCCCCTAACAATAGTCTCTATCTCCCGTCTATTGCATACACAATCCTGAACCTTTCCATGGCCAAAAGAATTTTATGATTAACATACTTCTAATTCGAGTAATATACAAATGAGCTTGACATTACAAGGGCCAATTATCTATCCACCCAAGCGTCGAAGCCCCATAATCAGGCTTCATTGCAAGGGTACTCAGTGTACCACAACAGAGGAAGTGCAGCTACTTCACCAATGCACTCCTGTCCACAAATACGTGCAGAAAAGTAAGTTTTGCCAGTAAAACAAACAAGGGAACTTTAAATTTTAAGTTTATCAGAATAACTAACTTACAGCCAAACATGCTCTATAGTGTTCGGCATAGCTATGAGTACCTACTGCCACGCTTAACTATATACTTTCCTTTCTCTAGGTCATAAATAGTTTTTAGCTTCGGTTTTCTCCACTTGAACAAAATCCACACCACAATCAACACAAGAGAAAAAATAAATAAAAGGAGTAACGTTGAAGAGTCGCCACTTATTACAATCATAATCCAGTTAGAATGCTGTACATCCAAATCAATTGCACTATGCAAGATGAAAGCTCCCAATGCCCAGTCAAGTGGGATATTCTGCACTTGATTAGCATATCCAATCCTGCTAATGGATCACTCGATTAATGAAATTTGTAGGAAAAAAAGAAAAAAAAAAAGAAATTAAAATACGGGTAGCACCATGCATTTCTCCGGCTCTACTTGCACATAGTTTTCAACCATTTTTCTAGCTTTATATACTCAAGGGGGATTTAATACGTTAGTATGATAATCTGTGAACTTTATAATACCTTTCGTCATCCAAAGCAATTCCAAGACTATCGTGCAGTAGGGCAACAATGTATGCTGAAGAGAAGCAATATCGAAGCAATTCCTCCTCCTCAAGAGAGTGGTATTTCCTCTTCAATTCTGCCCAGTCACCATCACAGAATTGTTGCCCAGCAACCATCAGCTTAGAAAGAAAGCCTCGAGGTGCCAACTCGAAGAACTATTTGGAAGAAGAAAATGGAAAGTTTAAACGAGATTATCCAATATGACAGAATTTTACATTGAGAATAAAGTGATCAGTATCACGGCTGTGTTGAGAATTAAATCAAATTTGCTACCTTCGAAGTGTAAAAGAAATTTTCAGTCGCCAAAAACTTTCCTTGGAGCTTGGGTATAAATGTTGATCCTATGTAGCATCTTTGATACGAGCACCTATCTGAGTAATCCACACAATGATAGAATCATGATTAATTTAGAAGCCATAATATTGAAACATCTAATAGTGTGATAAGTAAGCAGTGCTGCACGGACT